CATGAACTAGGAACGAGACAGGAGTTCTTAATTCCAGTAGATGTTCCTTGAGCTAAAATCCTAACAGCTCTTTCACTAATTTAAGGACTGCAAAACATGAACACATTCCTTTAACCTTGAGAGGCCTGCTTCTGTCTCTCTTTTTCATGGATTTTCCTGCATCTGAATATGTCTAAGCCAGCTGCTTCCTCAGATGATCTAATGTTATCCTCCTCAACCTGCCTGTTGGATTCCAAAAGAGTTCCACTTTCTTAGCAACAGTATCTTGCTCCAAAACCCCCTCCATTCCCTCAGCCAAAGAAGCATCCTGCCCTAAAACCTGCTCTGTTTGCTCACCTACAGAACCTTCAGGCCCTGAACCCCCAAACCCCTCATCTTCATCTGGCTGAACCATAACAGACTATGACTCTGGAGACCAAGAGGGGATTTAGACTCTTAGCCAAGAGTCTGAATCCCCTCTTGGCTAAGAAAACCACCAGGTGACTTTGGGCAAGTTGCACATTTTTAGAAAACCCCATTATTATTATTATTTTGCCTTAGGGTCACCATAAATTGGAAACAACTTAAAGGGGGTTGATAACTTTGGGGAGGAGAGCAGAACTTTGTGGGTAAAGCATTAAGCTCTGCCTGCTCAATGCAGGATCTCTGCCTTGTAATCTTAAAGGAACTCCACACATCATGTAGCTGTTTGTTTCCACTTCAGGAAGTTTCAGAGCTAATCTTCTGAGTTTGCTTTGGGGAATGCTACTCGAGACTGTGTGCAAGTCTTTGCCAGGATGAGGCATCAACTCCATTGAGCTTATTTGGTGCATCCAGTTCAAAGCCTGGGAGGCACAAGTTTATTTGCAACCAGCATTGTAAATCTGAGGATTACCACCAAGGAATCAAACATTACACCTTTGATAATTTCTTTCTTGTCTGGAAATGTGAACAACACATGCTTGTTCTAAGATCTATCATGGAAATAGAGGTGTTAACAGAAATAACATGGCAGCTTTTTATGGATATGTGGGCGCTTGATGGAGACAAAACAATTAGACCAATAGAAGACGGATAATGGAACCAAGTGAGAACACAAGAATAATCTTTAAGAAATCCTGGAGAAAAGAAGTCCCAACAGATTGGAGGAGGATAAATGTTGCCTCCCTCCAATCTGCTGGAACTTCTGTTCTCAAAATGGGGAAAAAGAAAACCGAAACAATTCTCACTCAGTGAGTAAGCAATTAGAAAAAATTCCATGATTACTAAAGTTTTGGGTCTAATTTCATTGCTGTTTGGAAAACAATAAAAAATAGTTCCCCACAGGAACGATCTAGAATTAGCACATTACTGGTAGGAATCTGAAAAGCTAAGCAAATGTGTTTGTGTTTGTGTGGGGGTTCACAATTATGTGGCATGGTAACAAAGTGCTTAGTAAATTAGAATGAATAGAACTATGAGTTCAAATAATATGGTGGCTTCTTAACTCTAGATTAATGGGTTAGGTATACAGTTTCAAAACTTCATTTAAATTTAATATGTGGGATTTTAAATGGAATTATTTTTATATTAAAATCCCATTATGCCTATAAGTAAGCAATTATTTTTAACAAGATAAAGCATCTCATGTGACATGATTAATGAAGGATTCATATTAAAAGTATTAGCTTTGATAAGAATTGATGTGTGGCCAATAAACATTATATTCAGTCAAGAGAGCCGATATTCATCCAGATCAAATCAGACAGAACATTTATCAACGTGAAGGATTTGGTGTTAAGAGATGAGCAGTGATGGAGAACGATTATTTCTCTTGTAAATGCTTTTTTTTGGGGGGGGGGATTAATTGGAGGAAAAACTAGAACTTCCATTGAGCTGTAAACAGGACAAGTTGGAAATTCTTTTTCAAAATAATTCCCATTATTTTGAAAAAAAAATGGAATTTCTCCCCCAAAATAATTCCTATTAATTCTCATTCTTGTTGCTAGGGGAACTAGGAAAGGAGAAAGTGGACTTAATAGCGCCCAAGTTAGTGTTAGTGCCTGAGAATCCAGGAAAACCTGCATACATGTTCATCAAATCTGGAAGACATTAGAAAGTGAAGTGAAGTGAAGTGAATGTATGTACTACCTTCCTGATTCACTTGTTGAGGCAAAGGGAATCCTTGGATTTGTAGGATGGCTTATGTGATTCTACAGAGTTTTAGGCAACTTCTTCTGTGAGCTTGCCTTTACAGTCAATTCTAAACCTAGTGCTCCATTAAAGAAAGTGGCCTCCCTTGTTGACTGTGAGATCCGCTGTATCAAAAGTGATCAAGGAAGCTGTCAGGTGGCTCCCTTTCATGCGTACAAATATGTTTCTTGAACCAAGAAAGGCTGTTTGAATCCTTTGAATGTTATGCTCGCAAAGAGTTGTTTCAGAAGATAAATGTCCCTCATTTCAAACCTTTTTTTGACCAGGGTCCACTCTCCAATATTAGTACCAAAAGGGTTACAAATCTGTTTTTGGTCAACTTTAGATTTGGTTTGGTTATTTGGGGGTGCTGATTCTGAAAACTGCATTGGATAGACCACATCAGCTCTAGTTTCTGATACAGAACACATGCCATCCAGTAGTCTCCATCTGCTTGCCCACAGAAAACCATATTTAATAAGTCTGGGCACTATAAGAGGGTTTTGCGAGACCCGCCGCTCTCGTTACTATATTTTAGTTTTTGTGGACCACAGGTTGGGAACCACTGAATTAAAGGTAATGAATCACAAGTGAATAAATGAACCAACCTTTGAGAAACAGAAGCAGCATTTCATGAGTGTTCTTCTTTACAGAAGTGGAGCCCTAGGGTTCCTTTCCAGTTTATTGATTCCTCAGGTAGCACTAATTTTGTGGATGGCAATTCCCAGTGGATATGCTAGAACCTGGGAGTTATATTCCTGAAGGTTAATGGCAGAACAGAGCTCCCTTGCATGGTGTGTTTCGTTGGCTGCTGGAAGGGCATCGTGGCAATAGGGCCACTGTTATAAATATGAATATAGAATGCTTACAAATCTAAGTCTAGCTTCCAGATTTGTAACTACTCAGCATCTACCCTCCATGACAATCTCCTTTGAAGGTTTTTAAAAACTATCTCCACATCTTAAGAATGTTTTCAGAATTCTCAGTGATGTTCATGGGATGTGTCAGTAACATCCCCATAAGATAGGATTCATACCTATCCTATAGACAAAGACATAAGTCCTGTCACCCGGCTGTCTCAGAATAAGAATTACAAAGCTTTTTCATTCATATTGAAATTGCTTATTCTGATTTGGTTTTTTTTTACAAACCCAAAGACCACATCTCCATATATATTTTATATATACAGGGTGCAGCAGCATAACTTCCTTTTTTCAAAACTTAATAAAACCCATTGTATGAATTAGATTTTTTTTATAATGTAGGCGCATACCTAAAGTTTTGTTTTACATAGTTTTGAAGATCAAATTAGGTAGGTGACATCCCGCATTCTCCATACACTGAGTAAACCGATTTCTGGAATTTGTCCTGACTCTTGCCAGCATAGCAGGCGTTATGTTGGCAATTTCTTCCTGGATGTTGGGTCTTCAAATCTTGTAGGGTCCTTGGACAGTTCACATAAACACGGGATTTCAAAAAAAACCCATAGAAAAAAATCACGAGGGGCCAAATCTGGAGAGTGGGCCGGCCACTCCAAATCCCCCCTAATTGAGATGAGGCACTCTGGGAAGTGTTCGAAAAGTAGGCCTCAACGGCAAAACACATGATGGCGACTGAACTGTGTCAGGACAAAACTTTATACTCCCACCTCTTGAACGAGACCACTAGCACTCCGCTATGTCTTCAACCGACTGAATGGCGTGCATTTTAAAAAAGGAAGTTATGCTGCCACACCCTGTACCTTTATATATATTTTATATATTTTATAAACCCAACGACCACATCTCCATATATAAACCAACACGAGCACTACGGTCAGAAGAGGAGGCCCTCCTCTCGATCCCACCCCCATCTCAAGTGCGGTTGGTGGGAATGAGAGAGTGCCTTCTTCCTGATCGCTCCCCATCTCTGGAACTCCCTCTCTTAAAAGTTAAAAACGGCCTCTTCCATCCTCTCCTTCAAAAAGCTATTTAAAACAGCTTGTGCATCGCACTGTGCTGGTCAGTGACCGTAATAAAGTTTTGTATTGTATTTAAAATACATTTATGAAATTTAGCTTATGAAGAGAGGAGGATTAAGTACATCTGTTTGCACCTTACTTAGCTGCTAGCATCCATCTATTAATGTGTTGTTTTCCAATCTCCCCCCAACAATTTTAGCCTAATTTTAAATGGTATTTTAAGGATTTAATATGTTTAAGGATTTAATATGTTAGCAATTTTGTGTACTCCTTTTACATCTTGTTCATTTATGTTGGTTTATAATTTACTGAGGTGTTCTTGTTTATTGACTTGTTTATGTATTATTGTTGGCACTGAATATTTGCTATTGTATATTTTGTTATGAGCGGCCCAGAGTTCCTTCGGCGAGATAGGAGGATCTATAAATAAAGTTTCATTCATTTCATTCATTCATTCATTTTATTTGGAAGCTGATTCAAAGCATTAAAATGGGACCCATGCAATACATTTCCTGTTAACTTCCCAGAGGAAAGAATCGGATATTAATTCTGCAATTGCATCCAGCTTACTGAGAGTTATTCACATGTGAATTTGCTGATGACTCAGTAAAATGAAAAGGAATAACATTGGAGAGGCATGTCTGATAGCTTTCTTCTTTAATTGCAGTGCATTTTGACAAATTTGATAAAATTTCAGTTTCTTCTCAGTTCTAATTTATGTTGAACAGAACTTGAAATCATAGCATGTTTTTTTTGGATGTGAGTTCAGGGGAGACCAAATTCCAGAGCTACATTGCAATGCCACTGAACAGCGACAAGCTTACACACACACACCCCTTCAAAGTACTGGATATTTCTGCCTTATAAGATGATAAAAGTGTACACACTGTTTAATAACAGCTTTTTATTAAGTAAATAATTGGAAATATTCATTTTTTTGGAAGTGAACAAACAGAAGTGTCATAGTTTGACTGAAGCAGTAGTTTGGCTGTTACAGATACAATAACATTTTTAGTTTGAAAGGTTCTGCCATTTAAAAAAAATAAAAAGGTTATGGTTCATCATTTTTCAGCCTCTACAGTTTTACAGCAAATTTATACATTTTGGAATTTGTGGTTTTGGAGAAAATCCCTCAGAATATCACCAGCTCTCGTAAGGATTTTTGGGCAAGTTGATGACAGTAAGAGCCCACCTCTCCAGCAATTTCCTGTTTTGTGGCTTCAAGTTGACATTCATGATGGGAAATTTTCAGGACGTCAGTAGCTAACTAAATGCAATGGAGGGCTCGCTGAACTGGAAAACTTCCTCATCATACAGTTCATCAGGCACCTCCTCTTCGCCATCAGCAAAAAATGTTGGGAATGGGAAGTCCTTACAGTCTTCTCGGTAAGCCGGTAAAGATGAATCACTGACCTAGAACACAAAAGTGACAGAGTTTGATGGGAGGAGGGGGACGGGGAGGCAAAGAACATGAAGCACAAAAATATTTCCAGAATAGGCACTCTCTCAAGTAAGTGGCGTCTGAATCATTTTGCTTTGCTTTGTTCCATAAGTGAATGTTCTATAAGTGAATAATTGAATCAATGAAGGAAAAGTAAAAGATTTAAAATCACTGGTGCATTTATTTATTATTTATACTTGTTACACATCTCACCATTGTCTAGCCAGAGGATAAAATTGATTAAAACACTAAATCCCAAGTATAATCTTCACAATTTGAAGAAACTCTCAAATAGGACTGTTTCAGGGTTATCTCGGCTTCGTCTTTGCATAAGTAAGACCATGGGAGCGAAAAGTCAGCCATTCTCAGCCAGGCCTGCAACTCAGACCTAACTGTGGCATGTGAAGCTGTGTTTATGAACACCTTTCTTCCCACTCAACCTCACAATGTCCCCAATTGTTAAAAATTGTGTCAGAAGCGACTTGAGAAACTGCAAATCGCTTCTGGTGTGAGAGAATTGGCCATCTGCAAAGATGTTGCCCAGGGACCATCTGGATGTTTTACCATCCTGTGGAAGGTTTCTCTCATGTCCTTGCATGGGAAGCCGGAGCTGACAGATGGGAGCTCACCCGGTCTCGTGAATTTGAACTGCTGAACTTCAGGTTAGCAGGTCAGTCGGCACATGGGTTTAACCCAGTGTTTGTCAATCTTCCAAATGCTGTGACCCCTTAATACAATTCCTCATGTGGTGGTGACCCCTAACCATAAAATTATTTTCGTTGCTACTTCATAACTGTAATTATGTTACTGCGATGAATTTTCATGTAAACATGTGATATGCAGGATGTATTTTCATTCACTGGACCAAATTGGGCACAAATACCCAATACATCCAAATTTGAATACTTGTGGGGTTTGGGGTTGATTTTGTCATTTGGGAGTTATAGTTGCTGGGATTTATAGTTCACCTACAATCAAAGAGCATTCCGAACTCCACCAACGATGGAATTGAGCCGAACATGGCACACAGAACTCCCATGACCAACAGAAAATACTGGAAGGGTTTGGTGGGCATTGACATTGAGTTTGGGAGTTGTAGTTCACCTACATCCAGAGAGCACCGTGGACTCAAACAATGATGGATCTGGACCAAACTTGGCACTTATACTCAAAATGCCCAAATATGAACATAGATGGAGTTTGGGGGAAATAGACCTTGACATTTGGGAGGTGTAGTTACTTAGATTTATAGTTCACTAACAATCAAAGAGCATTTTGAAGCCCACAAATGACAGAATTGGGCCAAATTTCCCACACAGAACCCCCATGACCAACAGAAAATACTTTAGGCCATCCAGTCCAACTCCCTTCACCAGGGCAAGAAAACATAATCAAAGCCCTCCTGACAAAGAGCCATGTAGCCATAGATATAGATAGATATATACGATTCACACACACAGAGATATAGTATCATAGATTTGAAAGGGACTCCTAAAGAAGGACAATTATATTTTGAATGTTCCAGAGTAGGCAAACCAGACAATCTCCACATCAACACGGACAAAGAAACAGCAAGAAATACTGTTTATCCACAAGCAGAAAGAAATTACATATATTAGAAATCAACATTTTCTCTTTACTTTATTTCCCAGATCACCTGACTGGGCCACAGCAACGCGTGGCAGGGGACGGCTAGTTATATAATAAATCTTTATCGGGGTTTTTTTGACAATTGTACCTGCTGACTGTTTTGTTGGGAAAAAAATGAAAGAACTGATGACACATTATCACTCCATGGGCAAACTGCAGGCTCATTTTGCCCAGCTTCTGCACTGCAGTACTGATGACCAGGTTAAGGTTGACAACAGAACCAAACACATGTACAAAACAGCTTCCCACCAAGAAGATACTTTTTATGCAGAATATTCTCCAACACATAATCAAATCATAGATGTTGATATATGATACCTATGGTGACAGAACTATTTAAATCACAGCTCCAGCATATCCCAGTGTTGCCTTTGAATTTGTATCATGGATCCTCATATGCTTTGAAAATGAGCTTACCAAAAAAGGGCAAATTAATGCACTGTGGACACCTAAACAAACCCATATAAAGACTTTGTGCTATTGTTAGCAAGCACAGCATTCAAGTCAGAACAACTACGGGCAGAACAGAATCAGCTAAAATTTCTTGAGCATGTAGCAAGCTGGATTCTCAGGAAAAGCTGATGCCACAACCCACTTTGAAGTTCGCTCTGGGTTGTGTCAGTACTTTTATACTATCGGTAGCAAGCTACAAAACACTCACATTGCAGGAACAAAGAGTGCAGGAGAGGGATTTTTTTTTGCTTCGGTAGGAATGTTTTGGATAATCAGAAGGCTATGGGGGTCATGCACTGAATACATTTCTGCAGGACTTCATTGTTCTCCATTCTTTCTCTGACAATCGTTACTGGGTACAAGCACAGCCTGCTGGAGAGAAGATATTCTCCCAGATGACTTTCATGTACTTTCCGGACCCATCATTTCCCAATCCTGCTGCTTATGTTAATTTAACAACAATGTGGGAGCAGAGATTCATTGTTTAACTACACTGGATTCCGGAATTTGAAAAGGAAAGAAAAAGGTTATGGCCCGATTGTGTTCTGAAGAAATCCAACATCATGTGCACCATGGCTTCCTGTCCAATTAGATTCAAATAGCCTGCGGCATCACACTCCACAATAATGAAGCATTTGTAAAGCTTATTTCCTGTATGATGGGCTCAGGTGGAATTCCTATGAATCCAGAAATAAATGAGAAGTTACAGCCCTCGGTGATAATGACCACTAAAGAACAAACCATAGGGCAGACACAAGAGGACACACTGAATATTATTTTCGCTTTGCTGAGTCTGGGATAGGAATCAAAAGTAGAAGTAAAATAAAAAATACAAACAATGTTATTAAAATGGTATTACTTTGTGGAAATACCTTTAAAACTACTCCTGTGCAGAATTTGAGGGTCTCTCATTCAGATGCCTTTTTTAGAAAAACGAATGCAATTGTGTATTAACTAAAACATGCTTTTGGATTAACTTTCCTGCTTAAGTGAAAACACTACATGAAATGCTGTATGTCTGATTAAATTAGAAAGACATCGGTATTCACTTAGGAGGGACTTTGTCATTAGGATTATACCTTAATACCATAATACCACTCATTTACCCCATTCCACACCTACTGGGAAGCATGTTTTCTATAAAATGTACATCTAACAAGGTGTGCAATGGCTTAATGGTTGCCAAGCAACCAATGAAGAGGGCCGCTGTGCTTTTTTATGCACACAAGATAGCGGCAACGTATGTTACACTTTCACAACGAATTAATTTGGGCTAAACTGAGTAAAATGTCTTAACAAAAGAAAAACCTATAAAACTTTCTGATCCAGAGAAGTAAATCAGAGCTTTCCAAACCGTGTGTAATGACACATTGTTGTGTCGGTTGCACTGTGTAGGTGTATTACACAAACGTATCTTGGAAATGTATGTTATCCTACAAATCATTCATTTTAAAAATATATAAATGAAAGGTTTTCATAAAATGCACTGCATCCTCATACATTTTGTTATCACAACTTATGATAGGTTTGGTTTTAACGTCTGGTTTGCTTGGGAAACTTAATCACTGTGTCTCAAAATGACGCATGTTCAACAAGTGTGTCACTAACATGAAATGTTTGGAAAAATCTGTCCTAATTTTTTTAGGTTTGTAAAGTTAAAGGTAAAGGTAAAGGTTTCCCCTGACATTAAGTCTGGTCGTGTGCGACTCTGGGGCTGGTGCTCATCTCTATTTCTAGGCCGAAGAGCCAGCGCTGTCCATAGACGCCTCCAAGGCTATGTGGCCAGCATGACTGCATGGAGCGCTGTTACCTTCCCACAGAAGTAGTTCCTATTGATATATTCACATTTGCATGTTTTCAAACTGCTATGTTGGCAGAAGCTGTGGCTAGCAGGGGGAGCTTACCCCACTCCCCCAATTCGAATCGCCCACTTTTTGGCCAGCAAGTTCAGCAGCTCAGCGGTTTAACCCACTGTGCCACCAGGGGCTCCATTTACTATATAAGGACACATTAAATAATATGGATAACTGACCCAAAAGTGGGTACATAAATCAACTTTTTTACTGGAGACAAATATCAAGCCCTTGGGAATTTTACTATGTAAAATTTCAAATAACATAACTTGCGACAAAGGGAGGAATGTGTCACATGCCAGATTTGTGGCTTGCAACTCGTATCAATAAATATCAACTCTCACCACTGACTATGGTGGTTGGGGCTCAGAAATAGGATTCACTTTCTAAGAACCAAACATGTAAAGAGCTATGCTGGATTTAACTAAAGGCTTAGGTTGTCCTACTTTCTGTTTATGCTATAGACATCCTATTAAGACATTTTGGTTCATAAATGCAGTGCCTCTGAGCAGGGTATGTGAGACTGGAATTCATCCTTGAGGATGACAGTTAAGAAATGGGATGAAAAGAGTACCATACTTCTTTTTGAACTAACAAGAAAGATCTGAAGATAGCACAACCTTTTCCTTATTCTGCATTGGAAAAACCTCCCAATTAAAAATATAGGCTGGCATCCTATTAGGAAGTTACACCACAAAGCAAGTTACAAAAAGCATAAAGCAAAATTGTGCTGTTGCAGAATGCTTTTGTTCTTGGAAGGAGAGACGTTAACTATGCCATTGGGATCAATAGGCAAGTGAATGCAGTGTGCAATGGTCCCAATGTGCAGCAGAAGCTCCTGCTGTGCAGTGGAACATCTTGCATGGTGCCCCTAGTGTGGTTGTCCCTTGTGGACAATGCAATCATTCAGAGCAAGCAGAGCATTCCAGAATATTTTAGAAACATTTTTATTCAAAAGAAATAAAACTTTTGTCTTTTTTTCTCCTTTATATTTTTGTGCCACTTGAGAACAGTGA